TTTTTCATTATGAAAAGAAGCATTTCCGCATTATCGGGCAACAACCTATTTCTATTTTCAACATAAATGTTACCCGATGCACTAAATACTCTTTCCGAGTTCACTGAGGAAGGTGGCGCGCAGAGATACTGCATTGCCAGTGTAAACAAATTTGGAAATTCTTTGCGGCTATACTTCCACCAAGTTAAGGGATCTTCTTGTCTGGATATAAGAGGTAACTGCAAATATTTCTCTATTTCTAGTTCATAAATCGCTGCCTTTTTTCTTGTAAGTTCGCTGCCTTGTCTACCAATCGTTTGGCTAACCATATCACTAGAAACACTAGAATCAGCATCAGAGCCGTTGGCGATTTCCTCAAAGCATTGCCAAATATCCTCGTGAGCTCGATCTTCGATGGAAGCTTTCACTATATTTCGGCATTTTTCATATGATTCAACTGGTTCATCCATGCTAACTGATTTATAATTTCGAATTAGTTCATCAACAACCCAGTTTTTAGCTTTATTGGCGTCAGAAAAAAAACAAGTTTTGAAACGGTGCGAATCTGTTCCGAAAAAATTACAAAAATGCCGCAACTATTTATTGGAACATTCACAGCTCTTCATTTCGTCGTCCGGAATATCAGAACCTACACGTTCGGAAACGAAAAAGGTTAATAGCCGGGTTCTGTATAATTTAAACAAAAATTAACGTAAGAAAACAAAACATCTTGATTGTTCAAAAGAAAAGAATTTGATGAAGATTGTTTTTGTTTGTTTATAAGATGCCATTTTTCACTGCGATAGCATCGCACGGATGTGTGCGGAATTGTGTTTTCGAAATGGTAAATTCTGTAGCATCAGAAACGGTGCGGAGGTCGAGGTGAACTCGAGCCGGCAAAAAAACAATATTGTGAAATTTATTAAGGGCAGCAGTCTACCGGATATCCGATCGGATATCCGTATCCGGCTGTTATTTTTTACAGGATATCCGGAATCCGGTTATCCGGCAAAATCTATATCCGGCACATCCCTAATTCAAATACTTCCAATAATTCAAAAGAAGTAAATTTTCAATGTCCAGCCACAAAGTTCATTTCATCTGAACACAGATAGAATCATCTGAGTTTAGTTTATTTCGTTTTCAAA